GCAGTGAGGCAAAGGTCTTCCTCTCATGTTGTCTCCCAGCAGAGATTCCCGTCTCTGAATGTGTAGGTTGCCTTTAGTCATCATGGCTGGTAGCTATTGCTAGACCTAGGGCTGTCAGGCCACAGCCGTCAACCCCTGGGAGTGAAAAGGAGGTGGGGCCTGATGCACTTGTGTGATGCTGGTGTGCTGATGTCAATTCTGGTAAAAAAAACCCCCAGAAGTGCCATCACTCAGCACTCTAGAATTTTTAGAACTCTATGATAAAACAATGGAATTTTTGAAAATCCTAGAGCATCCATGGTGTCACTTCTAGGCTTTATCAGAAGTAGGGTTGCCAGGTCCCCCCTGGCAACTGGTGGGGGATGGTGAGGGGACTTACCAGAAGCAGCAGGGAGGCCCATCCAACTACAGGGATGTGTCTGTGTCACTGCCCACATGACCCTGAAGTGACACTACCACTTCTGGGACACCGGGACAATGCTGTGGTATTTGGGCAAAAACTCTATGGTAAGTTTGGCTTCTACCACAGAGTTTTTGTCCAAATACCAGAGTGTCACCCCCAACATTCCAGAAGTGATAGCCTCATTTCTGGGTCATATGGGCAGTTACGTAGACACATTGCTGCACGGTGAGGATTTTCCCTCTTTCTTGGGGTAAGTCCCCCCCCACCATCCAGCTGATCAGCGGCAGGGGTCTGGGGCCTAGCACTGGGGGACCCCCCTCCACCTGGCAACCCTAACCAGAAGTTATGTCAGCATGCTGGCATGTTGCTGACACACTGCCCAATTCCTGTCCCCCCATTGACTCCCACCAGTATTTTAGTTGCTGGTGGGCAGAGCACAGAGTTGCTAGGAGGTCTCCTGCTATAGCAGGAGACATGGCAAACCTAGCTGAACCTCTCTTCCATGAATCTGTCCAATTGTCTTTTAAAACTTTCTATCCTCATGGTCCTCACTACTTCCACTGTCCCTTATTTCCACAATGTAATTAATCACTGAGTTGTTGTTTGGATTTATTAATCACCCTGTCCCAGCTTACACTGAGCTCTGGGCAATGTACAGGACACAAAGTCATAAAATGCAAAACATTAAAATACAAACATTAAAACTCATATAAGTAAAAGAGTTAAAAAGTACTTCCTTTTGTCTGAATGTGTTTACCATTAAATGTACTGGGGGCCAACAAGTTCAAGTGTTATGGGAGAGAGTAAGAAATAATAAATGCTATATGTATAAAAAGAAAATAGCTGTTGTTGCAGTTTTTATATGTGCAGGTTTAACAGCACTTGCGAAGTACTGCACGCTTTGTAAACTCTGGCAGCATTTCAGCTGGTTTATGGCATTCTTTAAGAGCTTTCCCTTGTGCCTCCTGGGTGATTATCTACTAGTAACTGCATGCCTTTCATATTTTATTTGTTATTTAAAACAGTGAAATGATAGAGAAGTGTGTCTGCAAACTTAAACGAGAGTGACATCAGCCATGAGTGGGAAATATTTTTTGTGCATAGATACAGCTGAGTAATATGACTTCAAAACATTTACATTTTTTGTTTCAGCATTTGCAATTGTTTCCCCCAGTTCTAAGACTATTCAACATTAAAACCCCCAAATGCAGATCATTGTGAAATTCTATTTGTCCCTTCAACACACTTATAAAAACCATTCAGTAGAGAGAGGTCTGTTCTAATGGCTGATTATTCTTAATAAATCATCCTTCTTCCCACTCATATGACTATTGTACATCCATGGGGGAAAAAAATTCAAGATGACCTTTCCAAGATGGCCTCTCCAAGATGGTGTCAGAAATGTACATACAAGAAATGTTCCATATTAGACATACTTTAGCATACATAAAATGCATATAGAATCATAGAGTTGGAACGGACACCCGGGGTCATCTAGTCTAAAACCCTACACAATGCAGGAAATTCACAAATACCTTGCCTTACACACCTACAGTGACTGCTGTTCCACACCCAGCAGATCACAAAAAACCTACAGGATCCCAGGCCAAACTGGCCAGGAGAAAAATTGCTTCCCAACCGTAGTGTGGTGATCAGCATTTCCCTGGGTGTGTCAGAAAGGCCACAAGAACTAAGCACTGAGGCAACCCTTCCTGCCCTCCCTCTCATGATCTGCCTAAGTTCACACATTCAGCATTGCTGTCAGATCGCCATCTAGCCTCTGTTTGAAAACCTCCAAAGGAGAGCCCACCACCTCCCGAAGAAGCCCATTCCACTGAGGAACCACTCTGTCAGGAAGTTCTTCCTAATGTTTAACTGAAAACTATTCTGATTTAATTTCAACCCGTTGGTTTTGGTCCGACCTTCTGGGGCAACAGAAAAAAACCTCTGTACCATATTCCATAAAACAGCCCTTCAAGTACTTGAAGATGGTTACCATATCACCTCTCAGTCGTCTCCTCTCCAGGCTAAACATACGCAGCTCCTTCAACCTTTCGTCATAGGACACATTCCAGCTTGTCTATATCTTTCTTCAGTTATAGCATCCAACAGGGGTCATTTCGTAGAAAAAGAGGTGCAGGAGCTCATTAGCATAACTCATTAGCATAACTTATTTGCATATGCCACACACCCCTGTCAGAAGGCAACACCCACTGCTCAGGCTCCACTGGACTGTTTTGGATTGCTAGCTATTGGGGGGGGGGAACGTGCAGATCTGTCCTCGCAGAGGAGGGAGAGCTTGTATCTGAATAAAACTTAGTCTTAAAATTGCCACTGGACTGTTTTGGGCTGGAGGGCTGAGGGGGGGGTTAGGGTCTGCAACTTACCTGGCTGCTTCTTGCTCTGACTGAGGTCTGCTGGGAGCAGCTTGTTGCATATGCCCTTCCCCTGGGCTCTTTACTGCCGGAGCTCCGCTCCTGTGCGCTCCTGCAGGAAATGACCCCTGGCATCCAAAACTGAACACAATACTCTAGGTGAGGTCTAACCAAAGCAGAGTAAAGTAGTACCATCACTTTGTGTGATCTGGACACTATACTTCTGTTGATACAGCCCAAAATCGCATTTGCCTTTTTAACAACTGCATCACACTGCTGACTCATGTTCAGTGTATGATCTACTAAGACCCCTAGATCCTTTTCACACATACTACTGCCAAGACAAGTCTCTCCCATCCTATAATTATGCATTTGATTTTTCTTCCGTAAATGCAGAACTTTACATTTATCCCCACTCAAATTCATTTTATTTGTTTTAGCACAGTTTTCCAGCCTGTCATGATCATCCTGTATCCTGACTCTGTCTTCTACCATATTTGCTACCTGTCCCAATTTAGTATCATCTGCAAATAATAAGCATTCCCTCTATTCCTTCAAAAAAATCATTGATAAAGATGTTGAATAAAACAGGTCCCAGGAAAGATCCTTGAGGCATTCCACTTGTCACTCCTCTCCAAGATGATGAGGAACCAAGCACACTTTGGCTATGATCTGTCAACTAGTTACAGATCCACCTAACAGTCTTTGGATCCAAACCACATTTTACCAATTTGTCAACAAGAATATTATATGGTACCTTATCAAAAGCTTTACTGAAATCCAGATAAGCATTAGTTGTAGATTTTTTGGGCTGTATAGCCGTGGTCATGGCATTGTAGGGCCTGATGTTTTGCCAGCAGCTGTGACTGGCATCCTCAGAGGTATAACACAGGAAGATGGAGTACTCTCTGTGTTAAGGTGTCCCCTGATCCAGCAAGGTAGTAACTTTCTCAAAGAAAGAGATATGGTTAGTCTGACATGACTTGTTTTTGAGAAACCCATGCTGGCTCTTAGTAATCACAGTCGTTCTTTCTAAATGCTCAAGGACTGTCTGTTTGATTATTTGTTTTAAAACTTTCCCAGGTATAGATGTCAAGCTGACAGGTCAGTAGATACCTGGATCCTCCTTTTTCCCCTTCTTGAACATGGGGACAACTTTTGCCTGCCTCCAGTCTTCTGGCACCTCACTTGTTCTCCAAGAATTCTCAAAAATAATGGACAGAGGCTCAGAAATTATATCCACAAGTTCTTTTAGTACCCTTGGATGCAGTTCATCCGGCCCTGAGGACTTAGTTTCATTTAAAGAAACTAGGTATTTATGTACTACCCCTATGTACTATGCCGATCCTAGGCTGCAACTCCCTTCCCTCATCATGTGTTCTGTTTTTGCCATGTTGAGCACAGTTTCCCTTGCAAGAGAAGACTGAAGAAATGTAGGAATTAAGAAGTTCTCTTCACCACCTGTTATAATTTCACTTTCTTGTCCCTGCAATGGGCCTACCATGTCCTTGCTCTTTTTCTTACTTTGAACATACGAAAATAACCCCCTTTTTTGTTTTTAACATCTCTCACTAGCCTAAGCTCATACTGAGCTCTAGCTTTCCTAACTCTCTCTCTACAGGCACTGGTTATTTGTTTATATTCATCCTTGGTTATAAGGCCCTCCTTCCACTTTCTCAAGTCTTTAGAAAGCTCTTTATGGAGCCACCTTGGCTTCTTTAGGCTCCTCCCATTTCCCCTTCTCATAGGAATCATTTGTGATTGTGCCCTCAGGCTCAGTCAGATCTGGCCAGCTTAGAAAAAAACATTGTTGCTTTCTTTAAAGAAATATTTGCAACTCTGGCAAGAATTTAACTTGCGGGGCATAATTTATATATTGGTTAGGATTACAAATGGAAACTGGCCAGAGGAATTCTTCTTGGGGGTTCCATCTAGTCATTGCCCCATTGTCCATGTACCTCTTTGAAAGACAGAGCCTTGGCAGGGAGGGCAGGATAAAAATCGAATACATAGATAAATAAATACATAAATAAATGTTTTGGGTGCTCTGTTCTCTCCTTCGATATTGCTGTAAACTGTAGAAGTCCACAAGTAGGATTTTGGAGGGGTGGGTCATGGGAAGAGAATACCTTTCATTCTGTGTGACAGGCAAGTGACAGCTGGACAGTTTGTAATGATTTACCCATACTGTGCATTTAATCCTTTTTTTGTGTGTGTTTAAGTTTTTAAGGGTCGAGCAAGACAAGGACCAAAAATGCAGCCAGGATTGCACAGGTTCGCCCCAAAAGTCACTGTGTGCTTCAGATGGCAGGACCTTCTTGTCCAGGTGTGAATATCTGCGGGCAAAATGTAAAGATCCTCAGCTACGAATTGAGTACAAAGGCAACTGCAAAGGTAAGAAATTCTCAAGATACTTTATATGAGTGTCTCCATGAACCTGTAAAGGAGCTCTACTTTTTCAGTCAGGGTCTGTTGGTTGTCCCCTCATGCAGGCAGATTAGATCAGACTGTGCCCACTTGCATGCTTTCTGTGTGGTTGTTCCTTCTATGTAGAAGACAAGGCTTAGTTGTACAATATGAGTTTGGCATCCTGAAGGTCTCAGGGTCAATTCTTGGCATCTCTAGCTGAAAAGATCAAGTAGTAAGCATTAGCTAGACCATTTCCGCAGTAGTGAAATTCCCTGCATTGATGTTTTTAAAACTGCACGTTATGTGACATTTTCCACAGTACATTTTTCCTCACCAGGCAGAAACCTGAAGTTTTCTCCTTCTTACCCTGCATTTTTGGAACTTGCTAAAACTGGGGATTCCAAAAACATGGGGTATCCCCAGTTTTAGCAAGTTCCAAAACTGCAGGGTAAGAAGGAGAAAATGTACTGTGGAAAATGTCACATAATGTGTAGTTTTAAAAACATCAATGTAGGGGATTTCACTACTGTGGAAATGGTCTACTAATGCTTACCTTGATCAACCAATGGTCTGATTTGAAATAAGGGAGCTTTATGTGTTCATATGACCAACAGAATAATTACAACTGCAAAGGTAACATTTTATAAGGTTTTGGAAATTATGGTGAAATTTTAAGAAGTTTTCATCTACAAATGGCTCTTCTTAAAAGGGTTTGTCCATTGTGTATTGTTTAGGTAACTGTTTGTTGGTTAATTTTAGCAGTTTTATTTTTATATATATAATCTGCCCTGGATTGATTGCAGAAAGGGTAAAAATGCAGACTGTACTGTTCTGCTTTCCATGTTGCTTTAAATGCGAACTCATTAAATAATGGAAATATTATTATTATTATATTCTTTTATACCAGGGCCAGAATAAGGCCAACTGATGTCCTAAGCACAGCCCAACAATGGTGCTCACCAGCCCTTCCATTGCTTAACTGACAAGACATTAAGACTCAATAAGTGCTCATCATACCAAAGAAAATGTTTTTAACAATGCAGATTAAAATCAAGCACAACAGATAAGGACAATTGCAAAAAATTCAACTAAATTTTAGTGTGGTGGTGAAAGTGTTAAGGGCATGATAGCTAAGGGGGAAAACACTGTGGTGCCCCCCTTCCCTTGGTGCCTTAAGCACATTATTATTTTGCATAATGGTTAATCCAGGGCTGAATATGGAGCCCACGGCGGAGAACAGACTGCCCCGTTTAATTCCAGAGGCTTACACTGAAGATCATGTTATTTTCAGTGAGTGGTTTGGGTTTGTATATGAGTTCTTCTGACTTTAACCTTCAGTTTAGATCTGCGTACTGCTGCATCTCTTAACTGGTTTGTGGGCAGATCAAACTGTTTGGAAATCAGAGAAAATGCTTGAAATGGTGTTACATCTCTCACTTCTCTTTCACCGCTCTCAGTCCTCCTCATTGCTGGCTTCTTTATCTTGTCTATTCCCCAGCCAGTCCTGATAACTCATATTTTCTGATCCGTCTGTAAGTTGTTTTGGCTAATTGATGCTGAACTACTCATGCTTGCCTTGCAGAGCTGGGGAAATGTTGTTATGCTTCCCAGCTGAAATGCAGGCTTTGACTCTCAGCACAATGCTTTCCTTCTTTATCCATAAATACAGATGATCACAACGGTTTACCTTCACACACACACACACACACACGCCAACAAAGAGACCACACAGAGACATCCTTGAACAGACAGTTTTCCACATTGTGCATTCCTCACCTCTATTAGCTCCAAAAAGCCTCTAAAGCACCAGGAATTCTTTAAAGAGACATTCTGTCTCATTGCTCTGTCCTAAATTAAACACTCTACTTTTTCTCTTTCTTTCATAATGTTCTGTTGTACTGTTTAATGGGGCCTACCTCTATATGTATTTGAGAGCAACAAAGAAAATGGAACTGAGTTTTGAAATCCAAGCTCCTGTTGTTCCTGTTGACAACATTAATACATAGTACTAGCCAGGGCTATTTTTGGGCAGGAACGCACAGGAACGGAGTTCCGGCTGGCTTCCAAGTTGGCTACGCCCAGCAGGAACCCATTAGCATAATAGGCCACACCCAACAGCATAAACTCATTAGGATTGGCTACATTACGGGTGTGTGGCCTAACATACAAAGGAGTTCCTGCTACAAAAAAAGCCCTACGTTTGGACAACAAACAAGGTAAACAGAATAAAAAGCAAAAGGTGGGTGTGGCTGGATGAGCACACGTCTGGTAACATGGGGGTGTGGCCTAATATGCCAATGAGCTGTGCTGTCAGGGGTGTGGCCTAATATGCTAATGAGTTTCTGCTGTTGGGTGTGGCCTATTATGCTAATGAGTTCCTGCTGGGCTTTTTCTGAAAAAAAAGCCCTGGTACTAGCAATTCTGTTGAGGACTGAGATGTACTTTTAAGACTGTGTTATTTCCTAGACTGGATGTTCAGAAATTGAAATGAGCTATGTCCTGTTTCTCTGATCCATGAGTAAAAGAGTTAAACTGGAGCGGGTGACGTGTTGGATGAGGGCTTCATCCAGATAAAACAGATGCTCAGGGTGCGTGTGTTAAATGATCAAGGAGGTGGTATTCAAGCTATTCTAGGTGGGGTTACCATCCCTGCCCATGGATCCTATTTGCAATTTGGGGTACTATTAGACCTGACCCTTGCTTCAGATATCTAGCATTATCCCACACTTTTCCCAAGGAGCACAGGGTAATGTACATCACTCTCTCCTCCTCCTCCATTTTATCCTCACAACAATCTAGAAGGTGTATTAGGCTGAATGAAAATGGCTGACCCAAGGTCTCCAAATAATAATAATAATAATAATAATAATAAATAATAATAATAATAATAATCATCATCATCATCATCATCATCATCATCATCATCTTTCATGGCAAGTGAGAATTTGACCTTGGGTCTCCCTGGTCCTTCTGTAATCATAACATCATATACATAAGGCTGTGAACACTATTTGGGGTGTCTAACTATATTAGTATTCAACCGGAAAGTACTTTGCTGGTTTTAAGATACTCATTGGCTTCCAATTTGTTTTGAGGTTCAGTTCAAAGATCTGGTTTTAACCTTTGCAGATTTGAACAAACATTCTTAAGGACCATTGTATGAACATGCCCATTCCCTTCTTCCTAACGTTTTCCAGGTCTACTCAGGCCCTGGGCACACGGGCCGGAGGCATGGCTAATTGCCCTGGCGCAATTTGATCCGCGATTACCAGCGGCACAGCACAGGTCCAGTTTGGTGTAGTGGTTAAGTGTGTGGACTCTAATCTGGGAGAACCGGGTTTGATTCCCTACTCCTCCACTTGCACCTGCTGATGTGAACTTGGGTCAGTCACAAGCCCTGGCACAGCTGTTCCTGAAAGAGCAGTTTGTGTCAGAGCTCTCTCAGCCCCACCCACCTCACAGGGTGTCTGTTGTGGGGAGGGGAAGGGAAAGGAGTTTGTAAGCCGCTCTGAGACTCCCTTGGGTAGTGAAGGGCGGGGTATAAATCCAATCTCCTCCTCTTCTTCTTCTTCTTCCCTCGGTGCCAATGGGTAAACGAGGAACCGGAGGGGAATGCCGCATGCCAGCACAATCACTCCATGGGCGTCTGGAGGCAGCCCGTGACAAACGTTTACTAGTACCTTGGAGGTACTAGTTTTTAAATGCGCATTGTCGGCGGTAAGCCACGGGTGCGCTCCACTTCCCAGATGTTGGGGTGTGATCATGCCCGGATAATCCACCCACCTTCCGTGCCTCTCCCGCAGCAACTTTGCTGTGTGACCGGGGCCTCAGTAACTTTTGTGACTGAGGTACTTCATTTCTAATTGTCTAAGTGGTGCTACCTCTCTATCTGCTTGGGTGGGATATTATGATCCTTAGGCTTCAGATTTCAGTCTCTCTTCCACCAGGTGATCTGCTAATGAAGTCTGGATGACCTCACAGCAATCAGACCAGTGTGGTGTAGAGTGTCAGACTAGGATCTTGGAGACCCAGGTTCAAGTCCTAATTTTGCCATGGAAGCTTGCCAAGATTCAGGTCCTGACTCTGCCATGGAACCTTGCCGGGTAACCTTCAGCCAATCACTAACTCTCAGCCTAACCTATCTGAAAGGGTTGTTGTGAGGATAAAATGGAGGAAAGGAGAATGATGTAAGCTGCTTTGTGTCCCCATTGGAGAGAAAGGCAGGGTATAAATGAAGTAGATGAATAATGAATACATCATTCTTAGGGTTGCTAGCCTCCAGGTGGGGCATAGAGATTTCCTGGAATTACAACTCATCTCCAGACTACAGAGATCAGTTCCCCTGGGGAAAATGGCCTCTTCAGAGGGTGGAGAGAAGACTATGGCATTATACACTGCTGAGGCACTTGCCATCCCCAAACATTGCCTACTCCAGGCTCCACCCCTAAGTCTCCAGGATTTTCCCAACCCAAAGTTGTCTACCACAATTGATGAACAGAGATGTTGTTTCCCCAGATTTATGTATACCAAACCCTGGCATAACTGTTTAGGGACACGCTAATAGGCACTGTTTCTTCTTAGCTTTTGTATGTTGCATGGGGAGTCTTTCTGTTCTGCCAATTTTCATTGCTGATGTGTTTCTTTCCATTATGCCATTTATACACAATTTACAAAAATCATGTAAAATTAACAAGAAACATTTGCTGTGGGAAAAGCAAAAATGAGGTGAAAATAAAGACTTGTGTGTTTGATTTACACAGGGGATTTTTTGTTGAAGCAGAACTGATGAGATTCACAATAATTATTCATTGATCTGCATATGTTATTGAAATATATAGTTGCTACTCAAGCACTTCTACTTATATGCTCAGCAGTGCAATCCTAAATAGAATTATACCTTTGTAAACCCATAGAAAGGTATAACTCTGTTTAGGATTGCACTTTTAAGTAGAATGATCATTGCAAGTAGAACATTTTGAGACCTT